TTAAGCCCACATGCAAAGTGTACATAGCACATTTGTTTAATATTTTATATAACCGCTGTGACCCGGAATAGGGCAAGCGGTTGCAGAAAATGGATGGATGGATAATTTATATTATTTTTTAACATTTTATATATATAGATACATTGTACCACACATGCATGAAAATAACCAATGTCTTTAAACATGCAAATCGTACTATTATTTATGCTATTAGTATTGTTGGAACAGAGCTGCATTGAATTACATACTGCTCCTCTTCATGTTCAATGTACAGATAAAGGGAATTTCTCTGGCTGTGTAGTGCAATCAGTCTGTTATTAACTGCATAGCTTTCTATAAACAATTTGCATCTCTTCACCACTTTTTAAATTACATGCACTGTCTTAAAGCCATTGAAAAAACGTGATTTGTCCAAACTGTCAAACCACATGCTCATTATTGAATCACAAATGTCCCTTACCTCTCCTAAAGACACAGTACAGTAATGTGAAAGTTCGCCCCTGGAATGAGAAAGCGGAAATGCACATCCACAGAGCTGCTGGGGGCTGTATTCAGGTACTGTGGTTCAACTGTTTAATAATAATAAATGTTTCCTTCCATCCATCTTCTCAAAGATATTTTTTTTGGGAGGGGGGTTTGAGAGAGGAGGTAGGTAGGCAGGGGGGGAGGGGCCGGGAGTCTAGTACAGGGTGCACAGACACACACACACAAATATACATTCCCACACCAGCGAAACTTGTGAACAATGAAAAATGTTACGTATAACCTTTTGTTTAACTAAGCAGAAAAGCACATCCATACATCTTCTGAAACCGCTTATGCTATTCAGTGTCACAGGGGGTCTGGAGCCCATCCAGGAGGCAACAGGCACAAGGCAGAGAGCAACCCAGGATGAGGCACCAACCCATCGCAGGCCACACTCACACACTACTCACTCACACGTGCACACCTACATGCAATCTGGCAACTCGAATTAGCCTCAGCATGTTCTTGGACTGTGGGGGGAAACTGGAGTACCCAGAGGAAACGATGACACGGGGAGAACATGCAGATTCCACACACGGAACCCTGGCAGAGACTCTAAGCCAGACCCCAGAGGGGTGAGGCGACAGTGGTAACCACTGCACGGTGGTGAAAAGCACATATCAGGGAAATTGGAATATATACTCAAAAATCTTAACTATGTATGACATGATGAAGAGATGAATATTCAATAGTTTCTTTGGTTTAAATATTCATTAAAGTCAAAAGGAAGTTTCTAGCTTAATGGTAAAGATGAGGATATTGACCTAGACCATCCACCAGATGGCGATGTACTATAAAGGCACAAAATACAAGGGATTCGACATAGGAAAGCAAAACACTACGGAGGCGTAATGCGTTCACTTGAGAAAAAATAATTCTGCTGAATTAATGACATAATTATCTCGGAATTTCTGAGATAAAGTTTTCATGTAAAAAAAAAAAAATATATATATATATATATATATACATGGTCTGTTTTTTCTGAATTAACCTCATAAACTCTCATTTCGCCTACTTTAGAGCTCAATTTCACTGTAACAATATCACACCTTAGATTAATCCAGTTTTATTTTGGTCTGGGTTTGAAACACTGGGAAATACTCGCAGCTTTAAGTAACATAGATGGCATTGTTATTAGTTTGTCGACTTTGCGCAGGCACCTCAAGGTTTTGCGGTTGTTCAGATGGAAAGCCCATTCTGATCTGCAGGACATTGCAGTGTTTCTCCAGGATCAGTTGGACCAGTATGGCATGCTTCACGGATACAAGATCATGCATCTGAAATGCATTCAGGCTGGCCATGTGGTGAATCAAGAGACAATCACACCATGTGTTTTTTTAATTGAAACGGTATCTGTGTCTGCACTGTCTGACACGCCCCCATTCGCCATTTTAAGTGCATCGCGGATGTAAACACATTTGGTAACGATGTTTCATATTCAGTGTTTTTTTTCTCTACAAAAATGCAACGTTTTATGGAACTTCATCAGTAATAAGTTACTGATTTTCATTCCCAAAAATTTCATTAACAAAACACACCAGCCATTTAGGTGTTTAAGAATGGAAAAAGAGTCAAGAACACCACAAAAATGTCATTGGACATAACTTTATTGGTAATAAATGTTCAAAACAAAATATTAGCGGCAAGCAGGACACAGGCTCGGTATACAACGACTTTATACACATCCTTCCAGGCATCATGTAAAACGTTAGAAACCGTACTTGCAAATGTTAGGTTGGGCATTGGTTTTACAGGGCACAGCACACAGTGACAACCTTATTCAGCATTGCGGCTTATAATCCATGCACGCTAATATACATATACATGCACTGATACACGTGTCATTACAGTTTTGCTGTTTACTTGTCTTTAAAAAGCATTCACTCTGTAACACTACTTTAACACGAGCATATTAATCTATTCTAGCATAGGTTAACCAATGTGAAAATACCAACTTTAGAAGACAAAAAAATGCATATTCAGTAATATTACTCAAACAAAAAAAACATCTTAGTTGCCTTTATGAGAATACCGAGAGCAAACACGCATGAAGGGAGATATCGTGTTGAAAGTGATCTCCTTCCGTCTCATTGTTGCGACCCAGGCCACCCGACGCCTCTTCGTTACCTCCTCTACCTGCTGTCCATATCCTCTTTTCCAAGTGGGAAACCGAAAAAATCTCAGGTTGTAGTCCACCTTTTTTCCATTCCTACCATGTGACTTAGTATGACAGCCTTTCACATACTGTCCCATCTTACAAAAGATAATGCCGGACACAAATGCTCTCTCTTGCGTACGTTGTATACAACCAAAATGGCGATTCGACCCACAATACACTGCGGCCATAGCGAGTGTGACGTCGGCTGACAAAGACCAATTAAAATTTTATTTTATTTTTTTACATGAAAACTGTATCTCCTTAATTCAGAAAAACAGAGCAGAATTATTTTTTTCTCAAGTGAACGCATTACGCTTTCGTATATTACGCCTCCGTACATTTGGTTGTTTCTGGTAAACACTTTTTTTGACTGGAATAGTCATATACTAACCTTTTGCAATATTACCGAATAAAATGGTACGCATTTTCTGTTAGCTTATAAATACAGTATGCAGTGTTGCTCAGTTTCAGTTTTTCTGTTTCCTCCTAAAATTTCTCCATAGCACTTGTTCCTGTTTGCATTAATGCAAATCTCTTTTTTTCTAACACCAAAAAAAGCCTTTCTACACTCCTGCACCTTAGCTCATATGAAGACTTCTGCTTTCACTTTATTGTACTTCTGCTTTCATAATTTGATATTTTTTCATGTTCCTCAGTGAAGAGATATATTTTTAAATTTAATATTAGCCTGGATGAAGTTTTAATGGGCAAAATGTGCATGCACTCCTTGTGTGGTATGGGTATCCTTCCACAGTTCAAAGACATGTTGTTAGGCTAATTGATGTCTATTAAAAAAGTGTGTGTGGATCGGATCTGAGAGTGTGTAACTGGCCTGAGATGGATTAGCATCTCACTCGGGATGTACTCCAGCCTAGGGTCCTCTGCTGCTGGGATAGGCTCCAGGCCTTACATGACCAAAACCAGGATAAGTAGTTTGAAGATGCATGGATGAAATGTGCAATTCTCTGGACTACCAAGAACAGTTATGTGATTCTTGTGGTCTGTCATGTCTTGGGAGGAAACTAGAGTACCAGGAAGAAACAGACAAATGGGGTCCCTGTATATGACAGGATTGCCAACTGTCTCACATCTAGTGTACCAGGCTTTCATGAAAGAAATCTTACGGCGAATCTATATTATTCCATTATAACCTCCTGAGACCCTACCCATTCATTTATGGCCATTGTAGTGGACATGTTGTTTTTGCATCTCTTCACTGATGTAAGGAAACATATTTATTCCTGTTGTACACTGAAGAGGACATGTTGTGAAATTAAAAATAAAAATAAATTTGAAAAAATCTAAATTGTAAAATGTCTCCAAAGACAAATAACCTAAAATTGAAGGACACTTTTTTCCTTGGGTCTCAGGAGGATAAACCTAAAATCAGCTACATCAAAAGTGTTGAGGTAGTTTGCAAACCCTACAACGTAATGAAACTGTCACATACATGGAAATGAGTGCAGACTTGCCTTGAAATGAAAATCTCACTCCAGCCAGCTGACCAAACTTGGCAACCGTGACATGAACCTACGCTACCAATATTTTCGGCATTTTTATTTCTGATGGATTTAAAAAAAGTAAGAGCTAGTGAGTTGTCCCAACAGTGATCTGACTTGTACACTAGGTCAGTAAGGATGCAGTGGTGGGCCAACATTTTATCCAGAGGGTCTGCAGCTTTAGGTACTGACGGTTAGCCAGTTAGCCAGTAGAAGTTATAGCTGCCATGCAATGTTAGAGGACAGGTACAGCTGTAAGAAAGGATAAACATGAACTGTTGATATAACAGTGAATGAAACAGGACAACAACAATATCTGAACATATTGAACAGATTATCCATCCGCCTATGTTCTGCCAGGCAGCACAGAACCAAAGGTTGGGGCACATTCCAGTGTCCTGTAGGGCACTGTGGGCAATAGATCATGCTAATTAGCCTTTCATGTTCCTCAGAGGATGCCAACTCTGGTGAAGCAGCATGCAAGTATTTGATACATATAGATGACAATCTGTAATCTGGTTTTCACTTCCAAATATGTTTAAACACAAATGTTGGAAGTGAAAGTATGAAAATGTGCATTGTTGGTGTGGCACAATATGTAGTCCTGTTGCTTCAGTGCTGGCCCTGCTATGTGTTTGTGTGCAAAAGGATGCAAAAGTCTGGTTAAAATGTATGTTACTGTGAGCAGAAGATGAACTGATAACCAAAAGGCATAAAGTAAAGGACAACACATTTGTTTTCAGCATTTTATGCAAGATTACATTTTTATTTCCATCAATCACAGGTACAAAATACCAAAAAATGTAAAGGGTCTGAAGCAAAAGTTTGGCCACCGGACATGGCCAACTCTTAGTAACACACTCTCTGGCAAATATCACAGCTTGTAAATGATTTTTGTAGTCAGCTATGGCTCTTGGGGGATTTTTCTGCCCATTCAGCCTTGCCTTCTGTAATATTCCTGGGCCGTCTTGCATACATTGCTCTTTTGAGTTCTATCCACAGACCTTCAATGATCTTTAGGTCAGGGGACTGTGAGGTCCATAGCAAACCTACAGCTTGTGCCTGTTAAGGGATTATATTGTAGATTTTCAGGTGTGTTTCAAATCATTATCTTATTGTAGGACCGATCCTCTTTTCAACTTTTTACAGATGGTGTGATGTTTGCTTCCAGAATTTGCTGGTATTTATTTGAATCCATTCTTCCCTCTACAAATGACATGTCCCCTGTGCCACTGGCTGCAATACAAGCCCAAAGCATGATCGATCCACCCCCATGCTTAATAGCTGGAGAGGTGTTCTTTTCCTGGAATTTGGCACCCTTTTTTCTCTAAACACATTGTGGCTAAAAAGGTCAATTTTGACATCATCAGTCCACAGGAGTTGTTTCCGAAATGCATCAGGCTTGTTCAGATGTCCATTTGTAAGCTTCAGTTGCTAAATTTTGTGGCTACGACACAGGAAAGATTTTCTTCTGCTGACTCTGCCATAAAGGTCATATTTGTTCAGGTGTCGCTGCACAGTAGAACGGTGAACCACCACTCCAGAGTCTGCTAAATCTTCCTGAGGGTCTTTTGCAGTCAAACAGGGTTTTTTATTTGCCTTTCTGGCAATCTGATGAGCAGTTCTTTCAGAAAGCTTTCTTGGTCTTCCAGACCTCAGCTTGACTTCCACCATTCTTGTTAACTGCCGTTTATTAATAACATTATGAAATGAGAAAACAGCTACCTGGAAATGCTTTGCTCTCTTCTTGTAGCCTGCTTCTACTTTGTGAGTATCAATTATTTTATTTATTTTATTTTTAGTGCTAGGCAGTTACTTAGAGGAGCCCATGGCTGCTGATTGTTGGGACAAGGGTTGAACAGTCAAAGAATTTATAGAGCTTTGCAGTTTGCATCACCTGGGGTTTCCTAAGAATGATTGTGAATGACCCATAGTCCTAACAAGCTATTGAAGGTCTGGGACCTTGGTAAACGTTATCTGATACCTCAAATATCTTGTGGTGTCCAAACTTTTGCATGGGGCACCTTTGCTTTTTCACTCTACAATTGTATAAAATAAGAATAATACACTAATCCTGCATAAAATGCAGAAAAAAAATGTATCGTCTTTAACTTCATGGCTTTTGGTGATCATTTCATCTTCTGCTCATTTAACTAATCACAGTAACAGACATTTTAAACTCTTTAAACTTTTGCATGTCACCGTACAGTCATCAATATTCATGTCTCTAAATTGCCTGTAGTATGTGTATTGTCTGCATCGTGTGACAGACTAGCATCCCTTCCTAGGTTTTCCCCTGCCTTGTTGGAATAGGATCCAGGAAAACAGTGTGGAAGATGGGTGGATGTAACTGGCTTTTCTTGTTTGGTATAAACATTGTTTGCCAGGCAAATATGTACCATTTTTAGCTAAATATTTAATTCAGTAGTTGTTGTATGAGCTGTTTGGTTATAAACATGAACCCCTTTTCACGAGTTAGAACAGGCATGCTCCTTTACAATTGACCCCGACCATGTTTTGCTTATCAAAAAAGCAGCACTGCCATTTGGAAGAAGCTGTACCATAATACATGCAGGTGCCATAATGTCCATGAGGTGGCAGCATTGGGACCAGCCAACCATGGATGTGGTACAATGGTCCAAGCTACAATGAAACAATGTCCTTGATGAACATCTTCATCCTGTACAGAATGGAGCTAGAGGCAGGTCCAGAGCAATTCTCAGTTAAATGGTAACAGCAGCAATACAGCCAAATATCCTAATTGCAGTGCCTAAAGTGAACAATTTCTTAAGTAAGAGGTTACAAATAAATACAAATAAATACAGACACATACGCATACTACAGGCAATTTAGAGACATGAATATTGATGACTGTACAGTGACTTTTACCAGAAAAATGCCAGAAGTCTTCATCACTAATAAAGGCATAAAACTTATGTGTTATAATGAATGTCTAGACCAATTAGTCTTACAGTCTCTTATTACATATGCTTTATGTATCTTATTACTTTATGCTTTGTTCCTTGGCCTGCTACGCCCCAGAGCATATTTCCTGATTACAGGTGTTTCTATTTCCAGGACCTGGTGTCCATCTTGTCTCTATCCTCAGTATATACCTTGTGATGAAATGGCTGTCTTCTGTTTTCATTCCTCATGAAATTCAACTCTACTCCGGAGCCTAAATATAATCCCCATTCCATCCTCCCATCCCGCGGTCACATGGTTCTGTTCACCATCCTGACTGGACTCTTATGAAGAGCTACAAGAATCTGATTAGTAATCTTGCTGTTTGATCTGTTCTCTCCTACAGTTTGACAAGCAAAAGACATTCAAACAAATGCACAGGCATGCAAGGATAACAGCATGTGTCACTTAGCCCTGAACTCTGGGGTCAGAATGTAACTGATTTTATAATGTTTACATTCTGTGTACTCCGCTAACTACTGAGAATATGTCCGTAGTAAAAAACAAAAATAGTATCATGCTTGCTAGAATTGGCCCCTATTGAAAAATAAAATGCTATATCCTGTTTTGAACCAATATGAGACACAATTTGTCTCGTATTTTCCAGATCGCATAACCTATTCCCCCCATCAACAAATGACCAGGTCATGCATTGCTCAGCTCTACAACATTTATGTTAGGCCAACATAAATTAATAAGAGGCAATAAGAAATGTAGTTTACTGCAGTGGCATTGCAGTGGTAAATTGTATCTTTTGCCAACATACATATACTTAAATGACAGTAATTACAACCTTTTGCTTTTTTTTAGCTGTCATCCCCTGTGCTGGGGCGAAGTCATATAATAAATCTGTGCAGGACTGAACAAATTAGCCACTTATGTTTCATGTAGAAATGGATCATATCAACTTGAAGATATGAAATCATATTTTGACAATGTGAAAGCTGTATGCAAAGTAATCCTCATGATGAATTAGCATGCATTGCACAACATGCACAGAAAAAAAATATCTCTGAAGCAGAGTTTCTGTCACTGTTTCATATTCTCAGGACATATAATATTGCAGAAATTGAAAACCAAGGCATTTGGGAAAGGCATGTATTTTTGTAGCCTGACCACACCAATCAGCTGACCCAATATGTACAGTACACAGGGACTTGGGAGCTTACACTTAAACGAACATAAGTTGGGCAAGTCACTGCACAGAGCTGAAAACATCTTTTTAGAGAGGCAGGGACTAATCTGTCTCACCAGGACTATCTCTTTGCTACTAGTTATGCAAGAGTGCTCCCAGAGGTAGCAATGTTAAACTCTCCGGAGCAGGAAACTAAAGTCAATATGACCACCATCAGTAAAAACAAGCCTGAAAACACACTTACAAACAGCATACAGACCTTGCCTTCTTAATGATTAGAGAGTAATTCAAATTAATATATTATTCCATGCAATAATTATTTTCATCCATTGCAATAGCAACATTGGCAAAGCAAACAACATCATATCAAGATATCACACACATTTGGCCTATATAGGAGGGTGGCAAGAAGAGAGTCATTTCTCACAAAGGTCTACCTGGAGTCCTGACTGAAGAAACACCTGACAGATTCTGGAACAAACTTTCAGTGGGCTTCATGGTCAAGAGTTAACAGAAAGGGACCTTTTTAGCCCAAATACCAAGCATTATGTCTAGAGAAAATCTAACACCAAAACAACAAGTACAGACACATTTTTTGATGCTTTCACAGCACTCATATGCTTTGTTGTGTGATGTGGATCAGGGCAAAATGAGGCCATTTCAATCAATGAAATTTATAGACTACAACACAAGAAAATGGAAAATCTTTAGAGCGTGATGTATTTTTTTTCCATTCACTGCCTATAAGTTGTTATCATGTTTTCCTTCTGATGCTTTTGTCACATCTGTTCTTAAAAATAAAATAATTTCTCTAAGTTAATTCTAAGTGATATTTCTTTCATAAATTACCAGACAGCTACATTTTAAAAGAAATAGAGCGTGCTCATAAGTGGCTTCCTTTATCCTATAATGTGGGGCTACTTTTAATATTTACAGCCGGGAAATGTGATGTCGCTGGAACGTGCCATGGACGGGAGATAGGCACCCAGACAGGCTGTGCTTCAATCCTTCCTGTCCTCTGCAGAACGGCTGTTACACTAGACATGAAATCAAAGTGTTTGTTTTTGACATAAATGTTTACACTTAAAATAACGGAGAAGTCCTGTAAATGATCTTACTTGTGGGTATCGAATCCCTGACTATAACCCTAACCCTAACAACCATTCCTTTCACAAACGGGTGTGAGGGGGTGGCTGTTAATGTGCTGCTAGTGTAAGCAACAGGAAGGAGACACAGCTGCACCTCCCTCAGCAACTGCCAGCCTCCCCCCACCCCCCCGGGGACCGTCCACCCTCCTGCACTTGAAATCCCTGCATTACTGCTCGAGAAACCCTATGGAGCTTCACGCTGTAAGTCAAGGCTAATTTCCTTAGTGTAGCCAGTGGGACTTACATTCGACTAAGAACAGAAGTGACATAGATTAAATATCTTAAAGGGAATGGTCACGAAGGACTGGGGAATTAAAAAGCCTATAAAAAGAAGGAACCTGCGTCACGCAGCCTGCCATTGGACGCTTCCGGGGGATTGTCCTGGCTTCCCAATCAGAGCCCTGCCTTTACTTTCAGCTCTTGCCCCTTGATGCATCATTAGCACCTTCGACATCTATCAGAAAAAATTAATCCCCCGCAGAAAGGATAATGCTATGAGTGGTGAGGTAATGGCATGAGCTGGACAAGTGGCGATAACAATGGCGGCGGCCCTGAAGTGGCCCTCTGCGGTTCCACTTCCTCTCTTTTTTTAGCAAATAGCACTGAATGAAGCCCCCCACCTTTCAGCAAAGTGGGGGACAAGGTTAGGTATATAATACTGGGAGGGGGCCTTTGTCTATAATCGCAGCTTCTCCACCCTCTCACACGGCGATGGTCGCCAAAAAGCCAGAGCCCAAGAAAGAAGTCACCAAGCCAGCACCTGCCCCAGAACCGGAGCCACCCAAGGAGCATGACTTTGACCCCAAGAGTGTCATTGTGAGTTTCCCTTTGGTGGCTGTCCCAGGTTCGACATGCACGCGAGGAGTGTGTCCATGCCAGGTTACCCCTGCAGTAATCGTGGGTGAGACAGCTACGCTAGTCTCACCATTTTGTTTGAGCAGCATGTAGCTAACTAGTATGGGCTAACTAGTATGGGCTTGGCCAAAGAGCTGGAGGTTTGAGATCTGGGTGGAGCTTAGCAGTTTAGCTTTTGTTGATGGTCGACAAGTTTGTGTAAAACCTACATATGTTCTGTAAATGTATCGTGACTAGTTTGCTAAACACTGTAATACATGTCTGTGAGATATTCTGTCCCTACCATCCCATAAAAACTTTTTGCCTGAATAAAAGTTTCTTCTGTATTACTACGCTGCACAGAAATTAGAATTTGTGACAGAGGGTGTTTCTCCGTTTTGCCTTCTTGATTTGGTGTGACAGAAAATGTAGTATTTACTTATTATGCAAGAAAAACAGAAAACAGGCTATATAAGACCCAAACCCCACTTGCTTCATTATAATTCTCCTGAATCCAGAGACAACCTGTTATGTATGGATTTGATAGCAAATAAAGATGAGTTTATGATGAGCTACACTGTTCACAAATGACCAGTAGAGATATATATTTCACCTATTGACTTAGCCAGATGCGTGCAATTTGGCTTTCATTCATCAAAAGGAAATGATTAAGGCTCCATTACGGATGTTCCCAACTTGGAATTCACAGTTACAGGTCACTAAATTTCCATTTAGACAATCGAATTACATCTTTGCATTCCAATTGTTTTTAAATTAGCCACTTTTCCCCCCTTGAGATCAATGATGAGATATTTGATTTCATACTAAGCCTTGTAAGCAAGGAGGTGTTATTCAATAGAGCCAGAGAATGGGAAGATATGTGGTAGAGCCACTCTACAAAGTTGACCGTGAGAAGGCAACACCTAGAACCCTTATCAAGGTAAGAAGAGGTGGCCTACATGTCACACATCACACAGTGCCTGACATTCTCAGTTCTACCACAGAGTTTAGCTAAACAAGCAAACCCAAATGCCTGTTAAAGGTTGAGTACTGGCAAATGTAAATCTGAGTGTTACTTTCCCAATAAAGAGAAGTGGAACATTAGTGGAACAGATGTGTTTTACCCAAAATGACATAATTGAGAAAGCAGGGTCAGCCAGACCCTGGAACAATTGGAGTTATGGGTCTCACTCAGTCACCCAATCACTCTGCCAACCATGAGATTTGAACTGGCAATCGTCCACTTACAGGCACAGAGCCCAAACCCGCAGAGGCACACACAACGTCCTAGAACACCAATAAATATATTAGTACTCCTAGTATATTTAGCTAGTACACCATGCAATATAAATAGTTTAATTACATTCATACATATCCTATCATTTTACTTGGTTTATCTCTCATTTCACTTTGTTTAAAGGTCTCTTTTCAGAAGCTTATAAAATTGCTTTTGACACATTAAAATTACTCACAATAGGATTTCCAAATTCTTTTCTAGATTGAATTTAATGCAGACCAGATTGAAGGTAAGCAAAGCTATAAATACTTTCTCAGGAGTCTACATATAACAATGGTTACTCCATTGATACAGCACTGAGGTAAAGTTTGTTAGTTTCCACAGTGACTGGAAAGTCATAAATGCATCACAGAGGGCATTCTTCTCATGAAAGTGTCAAAAGACTCACGTTTGCTGTTTCTCTCACTGATGCTATAAATCCTCTCCAAACAGAGTTAATGGAGGCCTTCATGCTGTTTGACAGGACTCCCACCGGTGAGATGAAAATCACCTAAGGCCAGTGTGGGGACGCCTTGCGGTCCCTGGGCCAGAATTCAACCAATGCAGAGGTCATTAAAGTCCTGGGGAAACCCAAGCCTGAGGGTGTGTGTTCATTCAGCTATATTCTGTGTGGTGGTTAAAGAACTGGGGTGCGTTTCCTGAAGCCTTCTTAATGCCATGTCGTTCGTCTTTGTTCTGTCTTTTGACGTAAAACTTACAAATGACGTATCATTAAGGACCCCTAGCCAATGTCACATAAAGGCTTATAGATTCAAGACTCAAGTCCAAAAATCTCAAATGACACAACACTCACAATAGTTAGAAATATTATGGTATCCGATGTATGAGTAAACAAAGATAATATGTTCAGTATGATGATTCCTACAAGTCAGTATAACTACTAGGTATCCAAAATGTCTTTTCACAGACAAAGGCATTACCTATGGGACTCACTGTATTATGCAAGATCATAAATGCAGCAGGGCAGTATTGAAAATCCATGAATGCTGTCTCATTCACTTTGGCCACAATTACACATACACCTGCAGATCATTGTTGTGTGCTGAATACTGTCACGTCACAAATTCAGGGAGGCAATGGGGGGAAACAAAGGAGCTTTTATTTATACTTAAAAAGGGGCTTGCAAACTAAACAGACTTTGAGGGGTCAATAAGCAGGGAACCAAGATTGGTAAAGGACTGAGGTACACATGCAGACTAGACTTCAGTGACAGGACTGGGAGGCACTGGAGAAGCTGGAGGGATCCGCACCAGGGCTGAAATGAGAGGTAGGACAAAAGAAGCAACGGGAGAGAACGTGGGCCAGGAATACGGGCATGATGGATACCGCATTACATAACAGCTTTTGTATAAAATATACACTCTAAAAACTGCTGGGTTAAAAACAACCCAATTTGGGTTATTTTGGTAACCCAGCGCTGGGTAAAAAAGGAACTAACCCAACGCTGGGTTATTTTGACCCAACAAGTTGGGTTACAC